CCCTCCTGTATACTTTAAATCATCTCTTGATAAATTGCAATACCTAATCTAATGCGAGTGCTATGTAAACAGTTGCTAACACTCAAGTTTTGCTTTTTGGAATTTTCTGGAATTTTTTTCTATTTTCCATCCATGGTTGGTTGAATCCATGAATGCTGAACCCATATATCCAGACGGCCAACTGTACATCATTTAATCCTCATTCTTATTATCATCACCCCCATTTCATAGATGAGGCAGAAATAAGGACCCAGAGAAGTTATATAACTTGCCCCAAGTCACACAGCTGGTGAGAAGCAGGAGGGTGATGCACAAGCAGGCAGCCCGGCTCCAGGTCCCTGCTCTCAAGCACCAGGCTCCCTGCTTCACCACGCGGCTGCCACCGCGGCCCTCGGCCTCCGTGGCTGCACTGTTGGAGTACTCAGCTGAGCTCTCCCAGGCAGCCCAGCCACCCCCACCCCCCACCCCACCCCCTTCTGAGTGGCATCTACTATTGCCTGAGTGCCACTATGGGCCAGGCACTCTGCCAGGAACCAGGGACACAGAGATAGACCGAATCTCGTGTGCTGTATAACCTTCGAGTACTGTGCAGACCTGGGGGGAACTGCACAGGGAAGGAATAAACGAATTAAATTAAATTCCTCCCATGGTGCTTAAATAATGAATGAAAAGAACAGAATGCCTTGAGAAGGGTGTGATGGGGGTCTTGGTTTAGATGGTGTGGTGGGCAGAATAACACTTCCACCCAGCAAAGATCTGCACCCTAATCCCTGGAACTCTTGATCAGGTTGTATGGCAAAGGGGAATTAAGGTTGCTAATTAGCGGACCTGAAGATAAGGAGATTATCCTGGATTAAGCAGGTGAGTCCATTAAAACCACAAGGGTCTTTCTAAGAGGAAGAGGGAGCAGGAGAGAGCAAACCTGGAAGATGGTGGCATGATAAAGACTCAGGCCAGGGATGCGGAGCATTTACAAGCTGAGGAAGGCAGGAAACGATTCTCCCTGGGTGACCTCCAGAAGGCACACGGTCCTGCTGACACCTGGACTTCAGCCCAGGGAGACCCAGTTTGGATTCCCAATCTCCAGGACCATAAAATGAGAAATGACTGTTGTTTTAAGACAGTCACTAATTGGCAGTGACTTGTCACAGCAGCAAGAGGAAACTAACACACATTTGGTGAAGCGTTAGGTGAAAACGCGGGAGCGAGAGGGAGCCAGGCAGTCTGGGCCAGTGAAAGTGGGAGTATAGAGCGGGCTGAGTGCACCAAGCCGAGGAATCGCCCCTGTGGGGGAGTAGCCGCCTCCATCCCCCCCGCTGGAGTCCAGGACCCGGTGCCTGCCCACACTACCTCACCGGCCTCAGCGGTCCACTCCAACCTCACCATCACCTCCCACTTCTTCAAGAAAGCCACCAGCTGAGCGATTTCAAGAATGGCATCTAGAGGTGATGCACACCCATCCACAGTGAGCAGGGCTTCCAGGACAGAAGCCCCCCAGGCTCCTTCTAGGGCCTTCGTCAAACAGCTGCTAGTCTGCCGCAGCCCCGGGGAGGTAAACACGACACGCTCAGGATCTCCTGGCACTCTGGCCTGAAGCCCCCAAAGAGGAGTCCAGTGAGGGGTACGGGGGTGAGGCGAGTTCATCTCAAAGACAGTCGGTTACCTTGCTTCTTAGACTCACTGAAGCCAAAGGGCAGTGAACGCCTCCATCTTTCCCCCAGCCCAGAATTTTTAAGAGTTTCAAATGCCATGTCAATATCCATTAGGTTCTGCAAATACCTTCAGGCGGGAATCAACTAGTTACACTGGTCAAGACACCATGGAATCTTTGGTGCAAAACTTTTGGCATTTGCTGGAACTTGAGGAAAATAAAATCTGAAAACTGTCTCCATGCTGAGCTGATGTGATGTGCCGTGTTTGCTTTGTTCAACATAACTAATTAGCCAAGGGCTGTGTGGGGTTGGCAGAGCCACAGGAACTGAATCTACAAACGCTCGAGCAGACCAAGTTGCCCTGATCTGCATATGTGAACACATCCTGAAATCAGAGAGGGTGGACAACCCCGACAGCAGAACCAAATTTGAGAAAACGGGAGTCTAGGTGAAATTCACCAAGACTGTGGTTAATTCGTATGGAAAAACATACTATTTTTCCAGGCCCCAAAATTCAACTACTCAAGGGGACCCCAGACATAATCCCTTTTCAGTGTATTCTAAAAGAAAACTTGATCTATGGAAGTCTCTCTTATAATGGAAGAGGTAGCAGCCCAATGTTTCCCAGAACCTATGCTGTGCTGTGCCAAGTCACTTAGTTGTGTCTGACTCTTTGCGACCCCATGGACTGTAGCCCGCCAGGCTCCTTTGTCCACGGGGAATCTCCAGGCAAGAATACTGGAGTGGTTTGCCACGCCCGCCTCTAGGGGATCTTCCTGACCCAGGGATCGAGCCCAGGTCTCCCCCATTACAGGTGGATTCTTTACTATTTGAGCCACCAGGGAAGCCCCTCCCAGAACCTAGGGTAGGAAAAACAGCTCCGAAGATTTCAGTTCCCCTTGGGATTCACTTCCAGGCTGGGAGGGAGGGCTGTTTCATACTGACTTCAGCCTTCTGGGCTCCAGGACTGTGAGAGAAATTTTCCCACTGTCCTAAGTCACCAAGTTTGTGCTAACTTGTTACAGCAGCCACAAGAAATTCATACGCAGGCCAATATTAATTTTCCCTCCCTCCTGCCTTGAGCCAGACACTCACATAAGAGGACCTATTCTGTGTTTATGGGCTATGAGGGGTGTGGAAGACGAGGAAGGCAGAGGACCCACAGTGCTGAAAGGTGGGCTAGATCTGGGGCGTTCCAGCAAAGACCACGAGTGTGGGCCAGCGCTGCCCCCATGAAGCCATCCAAGAATGCGTCTGGAAATCCTGTTGCAGACAGACTCCCAGAGATGTGACGCTGCTGTGGACAGGGGGAACAGGAGCTAAGGGCCTGCTTGCTAAGCGTGGAGTCGTGGCCCCGACACCAGGCCTGGTGCTGAGTGAGCGCTGGGGCTGCGTGAGAAGAGGAAGCGGGCAGAGAAGGAAAACAGGAGGAGGGAGGGTGCCGAGACAGACGTGGGGCCTCCCTGCCAGAACGCCTGTCTCCCTTCCTCCTCTCCACGCAGCCTCCCTCTCTGCAGAGCCCCAGGGGACCGTGGGTGGCCAGTGGCTGCTGGTAGGACCCGTGGGGCTGTGCTCTTGTGCAGGCCTGTGGTTCCTGCTGCCACCATCAATGCTACCTGCTGGGGGCTCTGCCGGAACCCCCAGAACCCCTGGCTGCTTGTATCCTGAGCCTGGTAATTAGGATTGCAGGAATCCCAAGGGCTGGAGGGCACCTCTGTCTGGATAAACTTGGGCAAGTTCAGCTGCTGCTCTGAACTCGGCCTCTTTGGAGTTGGCAGCAGGGTCCGGCAGGGTCAGCCGAGCGGCCCCGCTTCGCCACCCACATGCCCTCAGGGCTGGATCTGGGGCTGCCACCTCCCCCTCTGCCATCACTGCGAAGCAAGCATCGACAGACGGAGGGTGCACAGGGTGGCAGAGGCCAGGAGTGCCGAACTGGGGGGCAGAAGACCTGGATTCAAGACCTCCCACCTCCAAGCACTGCAGCTGTGGGCAGCTCCCTAACTCTTCTGAGTCTCACTAGCCTCCTTCTGACCCTGGGGACCCTGCCCACCTCACAGGCTGTAACACCGCAGGGCTCCTGGGCAAGCACTTCGCACTTGACAAAGTGATCCACAGCCACGAAGTTCCTGGGCAGTCCTAACTTGCTGAGGGCTAGCAGACAGTGGGGGTGGAGGCAGGCAGGAGGGTGTGTGTCCCGCCGCCTGCCGCTCTTGCCCTGAGCACAGTGGCTCTGCCGAGACCCCTCCTGGAGGCAGAAAAGACGAAGCCTTTGCAGGCATGGATCTGGCAGGCCTCCCCGGCGTTGGCAAGGCCCAGGGCAAGAGTACACACAGAGGCCATTTCCCATATGTCTCATATTTAAAAGTCATAAATCAAGCTAACAAACCGTTAAATGAAATATGCTCTGTCCTCCTACCTTGTTAAATAATCTCCGTAATAACCTGGAAGGCCAGGAGAGAATTTAGAATTCTGGGTCTCCTCAGAGCCTGTGCCCGGCCTTGGCTGGATGGGGAAGGCCCACCTGAGCCCTGATCCGCCCGGCTTCCTTCCCCACGCCCAGCCTGCTGTCTTCACCGGCCTCGAACGCGGGTGTGGACACCCAGGCTTCACGTCCACACTTTGTCCACACTGCCCACTAAGAGTCAACCCTGGGCCCCAGGGTGTGCATGTCGGTGATGTGGGCTGGCGAGAAGCCGGAAGGGGCTTAGGGCTGTTTGGGAAGGCTCCCGGGTGGGCTGGAAGGAGGGGTGCGGGCCCCACGTGGGCGCAGCCCCTTGGCCCGCAGACGCCTCAGTCCACAGGCACAGGGGCACTTCTGCGCCAGGAGGGGGTGGCTCCAGAGCAGGGGCCTCCTGCAGGGCCTCAGGGTGGCTCAGGCTGGGCCAGGGCTTCCACTGTGGCTCCGCCTCCTACCTGCTGGGCAGCTCGGGAGGCCCCAGCTCCTCTCGCACGGCAACCCACTCCAGTATTCCTGCCCGGAGAATGCCATGGACAGAGGAGCAGGGCGGGCTACCATCCAGGCAGTCGCAAAGAGTCCGACACGACTGAAGCGACTTAGCACGCACACTGCCCCTCTCCAACCTTCAGCCAGGTCCCGTGCCCCTCTGCATTCAGCGTCCCTGCGTGGCCAGCGAGGGGCGTCTAAGGGACAGTCAAGGACCCCCCGTCTCTGATACCCTCCCCGGTGCTGCCGCTGGTTGACAGAGAGGCCAAGAAGGCAGAGCTCAGCCTGATTTTTTCAGGTTCATTCCTCCCAAGCAGGGAGGTCACTGGGACCGTGTGTGGAGGGATGCCCCCCAGGAGCCCCAAATGCCTCCTGCTGCAGAGACGCAGATAGTGCAGACTCACCAGGTACCATCCCCGTCAGCGTCGGCGCCGAGTAGCTGCCCTGTCCAGCGGGGGGCACGTGCGGAGGGTACCCAGGGAGGGTCGTGCTCGCCAAGTCGCGGCCTGAGGAGTCAAAGCAACAAATCACAGGGTGAGCATCCCCACGGCCAGCTGCTCCGTCCGCGGCTCCCCCGACTTCTGCACATTTGACATGTCTGGATGCTTGACGCCAGGGTGCGCGTGCACACGCGCGCACGCGCGCGCGCACACACATACTCACCCACTCCTCCAGCCGGGCTCCACCAGCAGGAAGCCAGGATGGCTCGGTCGGATCCCTGGGAAACCAGAGCTCCGAGCACACCCCTTGCTCTCTGCTTCCCAGGTAGGGCTTGGACTTCTCCGTCAACACACCGTGGCGCCTGCTGGGCCTTCTGCACATGGCCCAGCGCCACCATCCTCCAAGAGCAGCTCAGCCATCTCCCAGCCACCCACAGTGGGCAGGGCTCTGCCTGCCTCAGACCCAAATCCGGTCCTTACTGACTTCTTCCTCTTTGGACCAAGAGCCTGTCACTCATTCAGTGATGGCGCAGGAAGCGCCTCCTGACACCAGACACTGTTCTGGGACGTGGAGGTTAAGGCCTCGGCTGTTGGGGGCAGACGTCCAGCGGGCATGTGTCCCCCTCATCGCAGACTGCCAGCTCCCGAGGGCAGGGGTGACACCTCACTCAACACCCAGAAACCCACCTCCACCTCAGGGCTCGGCACCTAGTGGGTCTCCGTGAATAAACGCGTGAGTGAACGGTCCAGGTTCCAGGCCGAGTGGAAGAAAACCCCAAAGCAGCAGAACTCTGAAAGGGCCCTGAGGTTCGGCGCTCAGGGAAAGAGCGGGCCTATAGCTCTCCAAACACTGATGATCTCACGTATGTACTAAGGTGCTCGCGCCTAAGAGCAACAATCCAGACCCAGGAAGATGGGACTGTTCGTGGTTGCCTATTGAGCTCTGAGGACGAGACCCCACCCTGGGGGGAGGAGTTGGCAGTTGCCCCTAAAAGAAAGGGATGCCCCTGCTGTCAGACTATGAGATGTGTAGAGACAGCCCAGGCTGGGGCTGTTCTAACGGGTCGGCTTCCCTACCAGAAGATGCTCTGCGTAGAACACCCACCCGGCCCTGGGCCCAGGCTCACACCCTTCGTGACAACAAACCACAAAGGCTTATGTAGAAACTGTAAACACCAGGCTCTGTTTTCAGTCTTTCAAATCATTAACCCTCAACAACACTATGAGGTAAGGTACTGATACTTCCCCCAGTTTATAGGATAATGAAACAGAAAGGTCAAGTAATTTGTCCAAGGTTGCACAGTAAGGATTTGAAGCCAAGCAATCCAGTGGCAAAGACCATGGGTTTAGGCATTCTATTCTACTGCCTTGCACATGTGCCTGGCTTCTGTCCCCCGTTTCTCAGCTGGGACCGTAGGCTGAGCCCTGCATTTAGGCCACACTGTCACCGGCTCACTCCATCATGCAGAGAGAAATCCAGCTACACAACTTTTGTAATATATGTGTTGGAATGAAAGCAAGGACCACAGTGGAGGAGGGAGCCCAGATCTGCCTCCTGGAAGATGGAGACGTTACCCTGATAGGACGCTGCCTGCTGGACCAAGCCCCAGGAGGTCCACATCCCACCCATCTGCCTGAGATGGGATAAGAGGGTCCTGAGAAGGGGAGGGATTTGCCCATGACACTCTCCTCATTTCAGGCAAGGCTGGGACTAGAATCTGGCCCTCCTGTTTCCTGGGGCTTCGGTTCTTTCTTCAACAGGGGTTGTCCTTTCGGTCACATCTGAACCTCAAGAGTTTCTGCCGCTGTTACATACGCTTTAAACCCTGATCCCCAAAGTGGAAAGGCAGCGCCTCGCCAAGGCACTCAACTCAAGAAGCTAGATAAAAAAGCAATAAAATGAGCCTAGGGAAAGGAGGAGGAAGGAATCGATAAAGAAAAGCAGAAAATAATGAATTAGGAACCAGAAAAGCAGACACAATAATAAAAACACAATAATAAATAATAAATACAACCAAGAGTTTGTTATTTGAAAAGACCAATGAGATAGACAAACCAAGGACAAGACTCAAAAAAAGAAGGCACAAATATCAAGATAAGGAATGAGAAGATACAGCCAGAGATATGGGAAAGATGACATTTAAAAAACATAGAAACATGCATGGATGCTCTATGCTACCAAATGTGGAAATCTCGTCAAAAGGCACAATTTTCTAGGAAAACATGAATCACCAAAATTAACTCAAGAAGACGTAGAAAATATTAACAGCCCAATCATATCAGAAAAGGTTGTTTCAAGTTATTTTTAAAAATAAGGTGCCTTGTCCATGTAGTTTTTGGGGCATTTGTTTTTGTCTTTGGAAAGTTCTTTTAAAACTTCAAGGCCAACTAATAAAAATAAATGGAAAAAAAAAAAACAACTTCAAGGAACACACACTTCTATTATTAAGCTGATCCAGGATACATAAAGCTAAGAAAATGTTCATTTTGCCAATGTGGCAAAATCCTGATATAAAAATTTAACAAAGTCACTCAAAAATGAAAATTAATGGCTGGTCTCACAATTTATTAATATGCAGGCAAAAAAAATCTACTATCTCATTGATGAAGCAATATAGAGATAGAATAGTACACCATGACCAAGTAAGCTTTATTCCAGGTACGCAAGGTTGCTTCAATATTAAAACATTGGTTGGGAATTCACATTAATATGTCAAAAATTCACATTAATATATTCAAATTAATATATTTGATATGATTATATCAAAAGCTGTGGAAAAGGCACTGGCTAAAATTAAAGAACACTTATGGCTCAATAATAAAAAGACAAACAGCCCAGTGTAAAAATGGGCAAAGGACTTGAAAACACATTTGTCTAAAAAAGATATACAAAAATGGCCAATTCCCTATAAGGGAAATGCAAATCAAAACCACAATGAAATACCACATCACACCCACTAGGATGTCTATAATAAAAAAGATAGGTTATGACAGTGTTAAGAAAAGATGTGGAAAGTTGGAACCCCTATACACTGTTGATGGGAATATAAAATGGTGTAGCCACTTTAGGAAAGTCTAGAAGTTCCTCAAAAAGTTAAGCATAGCATTACAGTGTCTCCCAAGAGAAATGAAAACATATGTCCACTCAAAATTTGTACATGTATGCTTCAAGCAACATTATTCATAATAGCCAAAAGAATATAAACAATTCAAATATCCATCAACTGATGAATGGATACTGAAAACAGTGTATATTCATACAACATAATACTTAGCAATAAAAAGGAATGAAGTACTGATACATACTACAACATGGATGAACTTGAAAGAAGCCCATCATAAAAGACTACATATTGTATGATTCCATTAATATAAAATGTACAGAATAGGTAAATCTATAAAGAGAAAAAGTAGATTAGTGGTTGCCTTAGGCTGGGAGTGGGGAATGGGGGAAAGAGAGTAACTGCTAATGGATATGAGGTCTTTCTGGGGGGATGATGTGATGTTCTAAAATTGGTCATGGTGATGGTTGCATGACTTTGTGAGTGTCCTAAAAACCACTGAATTGTATGAATTGGGTGAATTTTATGGTATGTGAATTATATCTCAATAGTACTGTTATGTTTTATTATTGCCATCAATCATCACCATCATCTTGAAAAAGAAAAAGTCATTTGACACCAAAAATGTAGGAAGGACATAATATTAAACTGTTTCTTAAACCAAATAAATTTGTCTTTATGGAAAAAATACACAGCAAAAGAAAAGATTAATAAATTGAATCACGTAATAAAATAGACCAAAAACCTATTGCCTGGTAAAAAAACAATATGTGTGTGCCAAGTTGCTTCAGTCATGTCCAGCTCTTTGTGACCCAATAGGCGTGGCCCACCAGGCTCCGATGTCCGTGGGATTCTCCAGGCAAGAATACTGGAGTGGGTTGCCATGCCCTCCTCCAGGGGATCTTCCCAACCCAGGGATTGAACCCATGTCTCTCGCAGCTACCTGCATTGCAGGCAGAATCTTCACCACTGAGCCACCAGGGAAGCCCAGAAAACAATATAAGCAAAGTCAAATGATAAATGGTGGACTGGAGGAAATTATTTGCAGCATAAACCATAGATAAATGGCTACTATCCCTATATATCAAAAACTCATAAGAATCAAAGGGAAGAGACCAAAAATATCATAGAAAAATGGGCAAAACTCAGGAACATAAAACTGTTATTTGTTGGGTGACTGGTCAACCAACAGAACAATAGCTTCCTTCGAGGTTCCTATGAGCCAGGGTCTGGGCCAGTATTTCACAGGGCTTATCTCAGTCAATAACCCCAGAAGGTGGGTGCTGTTATCATCCCCATTCTACAGATGAAGAGATGAAGGCTCCAAGCAGCTGATGTATGTGCCCAAGGTCACACAGCTGATGATCATGATCGCTAACATTTTTGCAGCACTTACTGTATTGTAGGCCCTGTTCTAACACTAGGCAGAGTTCTGAACACTGTTCACTGTGTTTTATAGATATTAACTCATTTAATCCTCAAACACTCTATAGGTCAAATAATATTATCCCCATTTTACAGATGTGGAACTAAAACATAAGAGGTTAGGCACCTGCCCAGGGTCTCTCAGCTCGTGAAAGAGGCATGGCCAAACCCAAGCATTCTGGCACCAGATCCCTGACACTCCCCCAATACACGGGGCACTTGCTCTTTCCCCATCCCTAAACTGGGGGTCCCTAGATTGCAAGAGCTGCTCCCACCCTCCCTCCCCTGCCCTGGCAGGGCACATAGTAGGTACTTAGAAAATACCCGCCACGGTGAAAATTAACCAAAGACATTGGTTCTACCATCTGAAAGGAACTTTGGTTCCCATCTCACCAACGTCTCAGAAAGCCCTTCACCGTGGAAAGCCACAAGAAAACCAGGCCTCATTTATCTGTTTTTTGCTTGGATGCAACTTCTTTTTCATATACAGCCCATTTCTACGTAGGCTCTCTCTACGTACACTAATGGGGGGAGATGTGAATCCAATTAACTTCAAATTTAGCTCATAATGAACTTATC